TTAAAGAGATCCTATCCTTCTGCCCTTGTTTCACCAAGACTTTGATCCACAGTGACGTATCTGCCTATTAATCACAGTGTGAATATAGTGATTTGGAGTGTGTTCACACACCCAAGGGACTCTTTTCTGCAGTCCCAGCTTAAGAGAGGGCTGGAAATATTAACACTTCTGTGCCAGCTTCTCTCATGTGTCCAGCTTTAAAAAGCAACATTTGCCAGCTAGGAACTGGCAAAGTGCTGCTGAACATTGGGCAGCGGGGAGTTTTGTACAGGGCCTGGGGGACTGAGGTTGCTGGGCCTGCTTGTACCAGATGTGGTGCCCAGAGGCTGTGAACGAACCGGGATGGGAACCTTCTCATAGCCTTGCAAGTGAAGAGCCAGAAACAGGGGAAGGACAGCAGGGTGAGCTGGAGTCCTCCAGGACTGAGGAGGAGCTGTATTTGATCCTTAGTGCCTAGCGGGTTTGTGCTTCCAGCCTGCTGTCCCCTGACTGTGTCGGGAGATTATACCCACTGACTCCATAAACTTAAATATATGTATCGAATCTGTCATTAGAAATGGCATGTCCAGGTTCATCTCACAGCTCTGCCACTAGTCTAAAAAAATGATCTTTTTTAATGAGCGAGGTCCAGGACTCTCAGCCTGAAAGATGATTTGGAGTGTGTTCACACACCCAAGGGACTCTTTTCTGCAGTCCCAGCTTAAGAGAGGGCTGGAAATATTAACACTTCTGTGCCAGCTTCTCTCATGTGTCCAGCTTTAAAAAGCAACATTTGCCAGCTAGGAACTGGCAAAGTGCTGCTGAACATTGGGCAGCGGGGAGTTTTGTACAGGGCCTGGGGGACTGAGGTTGCTGGGCCTGCTTGTACCAGATGTGGTGCCCAGAGGCTGTGAACGAACCGGGATGGGAAGCTTCTCATAGCCTTGCAAGTGAAGAGCCAGAAACAGGGGAAGGACAGCAGGGTGAGCTGGAGTCCTCCAGGACTGAGGAGGAGCTGTATTTGATCCTTAGTGCCTAGCGGGTTGGTGCTTCCAGCCTGCTGTCCCCTGACCGTGTCGGGAGATTATACCCATTGACTCCATAAACTTAAAAAAATATATGTATCAAATCTGTCATTAGAAATGGCATGTCCAGGTTCATCTCACAGCTCTGCCACTAGTCTAAAAAAATGATCTTTTTTAATGAGCGAGGTCCAGGACTCTCAGCCTGAAAGAGACCTCCCAGCAGCTGCTGGCATCCTCCTCGAACCACCGCAAGTGCCTGGTAAACCTCTCCCCTGTGTCAACTTCAAAAGGAGAGAGCTTTCCTTGGAGAAAATGATAGAGAGAAGAGCCTCAGCACCCTGGGAGCGCGGCCTGGCGCTGCACAGAACTGCAGCCTGTGATCAGCTGTGAGGCAGTGTGTGTCCACTTAGCACTAAGGCACCCCGGGCTAAGCTGGAAATATCCTGAAATTGGTGCCTAAAGGACCTTGAGGTCATCCTGAAGGTCCAGCCGTTAAATGGATTAGACAGATGTGTTAAGGATGAGATGTACAGAAAAGCATGAGGATCAATCCTCCCAACAGAGAAAGAAACATGAAATCTCCTAACAACAGGTGAAGATGAAAGGGTTGAAATGCCAAAGAATTTTAATTGCCTGAATTTTTGCGGATAAAAGATTAGCTAAATTCAGGGTGAAGGAGAAGTAAATTATGGCCAGGAGCCAGCTTTTTAAGGCATGTGTTAGAGCAATCAGTTGTGAAAGTGGCAAGCCAAGCATTAATACCCCTATGTTTATCAAAGGGTACCATCCCTGCAGTCATCTCCAAGTGAAGCCTGTTTAAACTAAGCAGTGATCAATCCATGCAGGAGTCAAATCTGTAGAAGTGCATAGCTCCGTTTTCTGCAGTGTTAGCTCTCTCCTTCTGACCAGTGTGGGCCATGAGCCTGTGTCTTGCTGCCCAAAGCCCCACGCTTTCCGCGGCAGCGGCTCGTGGCACCACGACGCTGCCTTGCACGTTCCGCTGACACTGACGTGGCTGCAACACCCGCTCCCCGCTGAGCCGTGGGGCAGGGAACGTTCCTCTGTGCTGGTTTCCCATGCCCCAGGCAAGGAGACGTCTCCCTGCCTTAGGGAGGTGGTGAGAGAAACGTATCTGCGTGTTGCAGGCAGAGGCGAGAGGGGCAAGCACAGAAATCCGCTCTGTTTGCGGGCACCGTTCCCCCGTTTAGTCTCAGTTTCCCCAGAAGCTGGTTGGGCTTTTCTGCAGTGCCCCTCGGTTACTCATTTTTCTGACGAATTTCCTTTTTTGTTTCTGCTGAATCCTTTAAGAAAAGAAAGCCATTGAGAAGTGTGGAGCTAAAAAATAGCCAAAATGACCGCCCGTTCCCCAAATAAAATAATTAAATCATTCCCCCTTTCTCTCCTCAAAGTACTCTTCATAGTAGCAGCTCTTCTTCATGTGTCCACGTAAAACCAACAGCCAAATTACAAACCCTTTTCCGGGGGTTTATCCTCCTGCTAAAGGACCTTGCAGCAGAGCCCTGGCCGCAGAGCGCTAACCATGACAGTTCCCTGAAGGGCTGTTGCAATCAGTCTTGGCCTGCGAGTGTCAGGGGGTTAAAAATACACCCGGTATTTTGACGCCTGGCAAGTGGGGTTGCTTGGTCCGCCAAGCCCGGCCCCACTGCTGGAGCAGGAACCGCTCACGCAGCGCTCGGGGCCTTTGTGCAAAGTAACGGCCTGCTTTTATGGCCTGGTGTTTTTAACAGTGTCAAATCCCAGTGTTTTGGATAAGATGAGTACTGCCCTAGGCTGTAGGCAACCTGCTCGCTGCCCTAGGCATGCTGGCAACCCTCCTGCTTTGCCCTCCATGCTGGCACTGCAGATCCTGCACATCCCACAGGGATTTCTGCAGGGAGAGGCAGGCAGACGGTGTCCCAGGAACATGCACCTCGGGTTATTTGGTCATAAAGCCAGCGAGTCCCCGATTAGATATTTTTATTTTGGACTCAGGACCCTGCTTTGGTGTCAGTAACCTTGGCAGAGTTATCAGCACGAGATAAATGGGGGCAGAGTGTTTTAGCCCAAGGCAAGCATCCCCGAGGGAGCAAACACTAAGACACGTGCCTAGGGCAGGATACCTTTCCTTCTGCTACGTGGGGTGCCAGTCCGCGCATGCGTGCGAAGGCCGTGGCGCAGCCCTTGCCCGCCTGGCGCGTTGGTCGTGTTGCGGGTGTCCAGGGCCTCCTTTCACACAGCGTCTGGCTGGAGCTGTTTGACCTTGTGGACACGCCGTGGGCCAAGGCCGCAGCCTGGCCGAGGTAACTCGCTGCATTTAGACCTTCTCTCACCTCGGAGAGATCGCCGTTTGTCCCCAGCAGAGACGGGGAGCGTGTCCGGGCGCTGCTCTGGCTCACGTGCCGCCCCGTGAGCCCTCAGCGGAGCAGCACGTGCAGGTTACGCAGGGACCTGCTGCACGTGCCAACCAGGGCTTATTTTCCTACAGGCTCAGCTACCGCCGCCTTTGCTTGCTCTGGTAGCCAGGAGCTGGATCCAGCCCTGCAGGCGAGTGGTGAAGTGCTGGCCTGGCTGAATGTGGGGTAGGGGTGTTCAGAGCCTCGTTGGAGCCCTTCATTTCCTGGAGGAGCAGCGTGTGCCTTTCTCCAGCCGGAGAGTGCCCTCTGGTGCACGCACGGGCTGATAAACAGTATCATTTATGGAATTGGCTTTGCTTGCCTTCCTCCTTTTCTTGATTCTTTCCAGCCAGCCTGATTATTCAATGAAGGCAACCAAGTAGGTAAATGCCACAAGATACCCAGAGGGGAGCTCCAGACCTGTCACTTGTGTCTTACCTATTTATAAACTAACACTGCTGAGAAATCTTTTAACAATATGTACCACTTGCAGCATGCCCAGTTTTGGGTGTCCAGGTTCAGGCCTCCTGAACCGCCTGGGCTGCAGTTTTGTCTCTTGCCATTGGTACAGCCTGGTACAGTCTGTAGTTTCAAAACCTACTTTAGGTAGGTTGGTTTAGTAGGGAAAACAGGCTGTGAAACAGCAGAAGCAGAAGTGTTTTATAAATAAAAAAAAATACTGTCCCCTTTTCTGGAAGGATGGTAGAAGCAGAAGCAGTGTAAGCAGTTGTTGCCATAGCCATGTGGAAATGGAAACAGTAAATGTGTGGCATAAATACAAAAACTATTGTAAATATAAAACTTTCATACACAAAGCTGTTTCTTGGAGAACTGTGTCATCTTGTCTCTGTCAGAGGACGTTTTGTTTCAAAAGAAAACACAGATCCCATTCAGACGTTTCAGCCTTGTTGGCGCAGTGATGGACGTGCTGATCCAGGGCAGAGATAAGCGTGTTCAGCGCTGCAGCCCTGAACTTTACCCGCAGCAGATAATAAGAAAGATAAGATACTGTAATACCTTATCTGTTGGCTGCTGGTAGTAGGGAAACGGCGAGTTGTGCGTTACCCTCCACAGAGCTTGCTGTCCTCGGCGAGTTGTGCGTTACCCTCCACAGAGCTTGCTGTCCTCGGCGAGTTGTGCGTTACCCTCCACAGAGCTTGCTGTCCTCGGCGAGTTGTGCGTTACCCTCCACAGAGCTTGCTGTCCTCAGCAGGATGCCCGCGGTCACGGCCGGGCCTTGCCGTGAGGCCGCTCAGCGCCGGGCTGCCCCTGCTGGGAGGTGCTGCCGGGCTGCCGCCTCCCTGCACGAGGGGAGACTCCTGCTGGGGCCCGAGGATCAGCCCTCGGCAGGACCGAGCACTGTCCGGGGCGGAGGAGACGCGCGCGAGGCCTGTGCTTGGGGTGGGCGCTGGGTCTTCAGGCCTCTGCCCCTAGTGCTTGATGTCCTTGAGTGGGTCGCGCTGGTTATTTGAGATGCTGTTCTGCTGCATGTGATTAGTGATCTGTGTCCGAAGGCGTCTCCAGCAGTCGGGTTTTGCTCATGTTTTTTCCCCTGCTCTCTACTGACCTTTCTCTTCTCCCTGTGTTTTTTTTCCCCCCTTAGGTCGGAAGCTGAGAGGAAAAGCCTTCTATTTTGTCAATGGAAAGGTGTTCTGTGAAGAAGATTTCCTGGTGAGCACAATGATGACCCTTGTGCTGTTGGCAGCACAGCTCCCACAGAGCCTTCGTGTCCCTTGCTGCAGCTGTGCCTCTCATCCATGTGTTTGTAGTATGATTCCCAGGCCCTGCACATCCTCTCTTAACCCACGTACCAGACGCAGCAAGTTGGTTGGGTCTGTGATCTGGGGGCTGCCGTGTGTGGTAGTGGAAGTAGCAGAGTCAGAACCCTTGGTTTTGCATTACTTGAAGCTGTAGCCATTTGTGATGGCTTCTTCAAAACTGATCTTTGTAGAAATGCCATGGAAGTAAGAGCAAGATAAATGACTTGAGGGAACTTTTCTTTCCTATTAACCCTTCTTGCTTGGGCACCTTCATGGATGTCTTTCTATTGCCCTCAGAGGGATTTGAAAAAGGAGCAGCCCTACAATCCTCTCCTTGGCTGGTGGAGAAACTCATGATTACTCTGACACCACAGAAATTGCAAAAAGCTGTGTAGCCCGCGCAGACTAAGACAAAGTCTTACAGGCTAAGACATCACTGAGATTTGAACAGTTCTATTTGCCACTTACTGAGGAGGTCTAGCGATTTCAAAGAGTCAGTTGCCTTCTTTTTCTTGCTGGTGTATTCTGCACAGGCTGAAAATGGAAACCTCTAATTCAAACATGTTTAAGATATTTCATTTTTCCAGTTTGCATTTCCACTCTTCAGACAGAATTTGAAACATTTTGTGTTTCAAATGTCTGTTTCTGTGTGGACAGATTTTGTGTTGTGCCCAAGGTGCACACTGCGTGCATGACAATCAGTTCCTTACCATTAGATCTTAGCAATGGCAACTGAAAGATGATCGAGGCCCAACTAGAAGAGAGTTGGGACAATATTCCCATGCAAGTTTCAGTAGACCTGTAACTGCGCAGCCCAAGGTAGAATTTGGCTTTTCAAGCGTATATATGCAAGTGTTGTGATGGAAGTATGTGATAAACACGTGTAAATTTGTGGCTTGTAGATTCATATGGTCAAATAAACATGCAAGTCTTATTAGTAAATGCCTTATTTGCATGTGCATTTATGGTATCATGTAATTTGTTGTTCTTAATTTTAGAACTTGAAAGTTTTAGGAACTAACAATTCTATACATAAAATATCTGGTATCTTTGTAGAATATCCTCTGGGACCTGCCCCATCTATATCTTCATATGCTGACAAAGCAATAGGAAATACAGTTTGTGAAAGGAGAACAGGCAAAAAAACAAAAACCAACAAACAAAAAAACCAAATCTGTCCAATGTGCTGTTATTTATGCTCTACTAGACTTGCAAAATTTTAAGCCAATTCTTTCTTGTCCTTGCAGTATTCTGGTTTCCAGCAGTCAGCTGACAGGTGTTTCATTTGTGGCCACTTGATAATGGACATGGTAAGTGATAATTGCATTAGGAAAAAAAAATTCTCCAGCTTTTTAGAGGAATACATGAAAAGCAAAATATATTAATAACCTGTGCTGTGTGTTTTCATGTTAGTCTGCCTAGTGTGAGATTGGTGAGAGAAAGAAAAGCCGCTAAGCTGGATGTTCGTGCTTGCAGGGACGTGGAGCTGGGTCCCAGCTGTTTGGCACAGAGCCTCTCTGCTCTGCTCAGTTTTGTTGCAAGCTGAAAAGCAGAGCTGCCAGCTCCTTCGTTCCCCCGCGGGGTTCCCTGGACTCTGCGTTTCTGCCTGTGCTTCCTGCTCAATAGTGCAGTGGTTCTGCACTGCTTTCTTGCTCGTGCTCCCTTGCCGAACTTTTCTTCCCTGCAGGAACACTGTGAGTTCCCAGGGAGCTCACAAATGAAGCTGCTGCCTTAGTGCTGTTTTTTATATATGCTGGAAGGCACTGGGATGGTATTCCGGGGAGTAGGTTTGACCCAGGGTATGTGATTTGAGTCTCAGATGTGTCCAGGTCCTTGAAAACTGCTCAGTAGGTGTGTGGACATCCTGCCAAAGCAGGCAAGTCTCATTATTAGCCTATGACAGGTACATGCTCCAGGTGTGCACCGAGGGGGTCACACAGCAAAGGACTGTCTGAGGTCTTTTCCAGCATCAGCCA